TGAAGCCATCCATGCTTGTAGCCGCCACCACCTCCTGTGGCAAGGAATTCCATGTGTTAATCACTCTTTGGGTGAAGAAGTACTTCCTTTTATCTGTTCTAACCCGACCGCTCAGCAATTTCATTGAGTGCCCACACGACTTCTTGTATTGTGAGAAAGGGAGAAAAGTACTTCTTTCTCAACCTGCTCTATCCTATGCATAATCTTATAAACCTCAATCATGTCACCTCTTAGCCGTCGTTTCTCCAAGCTAAAGAGCCCCAAGCGCTTTAACCTTTCTTCATAGGGAAAGTGTTCCAACCCTTTTATCATTCTAGTTGCCCTTTTCTGCACTTTTTCCAATGCTATAATATCCTTTTTGAGGTGTGGTGACCAGAACTGTACACAGTACTCCAAATGAGGACGTACCATCGATTTATACAGGGGCATTATGATACTGGTTAATTTGTTTTCAATTCCCTTCCTAATAATCCCCAGCATAGCATGTGTGCCTTTTTTATTGCAGTCACACACTGTCCTGACATTTTCACTGAGTTATCTACTACGACTACAAGATCTCTCTCTCTTGGTCAGTCTCTGCCAGTTCATACCCGATCAACGTGTATTTATAGTTAGGATATTTTGCTCCAATGTGCATCACTTTGCACTTGGCCACATTGAACCCCATTTGCCACGTTGACGCCCACTTGCCCACCTCTCTGTTTCCTATTAATCAGCCAGTTTTTGATCCACAAAAGGACTTGTCCTTTTATTCCGTGACTATTGAGCTTACTTAGGAGCCTTTGATGAGGAACTTTATCAAAAGCTTTCTAGAAGTCAAGGTAAACAACATCTATTGGGTCCCCCTTGTCCACATGTTTGTTCACTCCCTCAAAGAACACTAACAGGTTAGTGAGAGAAGATCTTCCCTTACAGAACCCATGCTGAGTCTTCCTGAATTGTGTTTGTTTATCTATGTGCCTATTCTTTCCTTAATAATAGTTTCCACCAACTTACCCGGTATCGAAGTCAGACTGACTGGCCTATAATTTCCCGGATCTCCTCTGGAACCCCTTTTAAAGATGGAAGTGACGTTAGCTACTTTCCAGTCCTCAGGAATGGAGGCAGTTCACATCTGAGTTCCTTCTGAGCTGTCGGATGTATGCCATCTGGGCCTAGTGATTTATCAGTTTTTAAGTTGTCTATCAGTCATAGGACCTCCTCTCTCGTCACCTAATCTGACTCAGGTCTTTCAACACCCCTTCCGAAATCAGCGGTTCTGGAGTTGGGAAGCACTTCTCATCTTCCACACTTCTCATCTTCCTTCTGGAGTTGGCAAGCACTTCTCATCTTCCACACTTCTCATCTTCCAAAGAGGCAAAATAAATGCATTCAGCTTCTCAAGCATTTCTCACCCCTCTCGAAATCAGCGGTTCTGGAGTCGGCAAGCACTTCTCAACTACCACAGTGAAGACCGAGGAAAAAAATGCATTTAGCTTCTCAGCCATTTCCCTATCATCCTTCAGTACTCCTTTTACCCCTTGGTCATCCAAGGGCCTCCCTGCCTCCCTGGCTGATTTCCTACTTCTAATGTATTTGAAGAAAGTTTTATTGTTGGTCTTTATATTTTTTGCTATATGCTCCTCATATTCCCTTTTTGCGTGCCTGACCACAGACTTGCATTTTATTTGCCACAGCCCGTGTTCCCTTTTATCAACCTCACTGAGACTAGCTTTCCACCGCTTAAGGGAATCCTTCTAACCTTTTACAGCTTCTATTACTTTGTTAGTTAACCATGCAGGCTTTTTCTTATACCTATTTGT